TGTGTGAGGGTGGGAGGTTGGTGAGTGAGGTGAGGGTGAGTGGTGGTGGGGAGGGTGGTGGTGGTGTGTGGTGAGGGTGGTGGTGGTGTGATGGTGGTGAGGAGGTGGTGAGAGGTGAGGGAGGGTGGTGGAGGGTGTGTGAGGGTGATGGTGAGGTGGTGGTGTGTGTTTTTTGAGAGGTGTGAGGCTGATGTGGTGAGGGTGGTGGTGGAGGTGTGAGTGGTGGTGAGGGTGGTGAGGGTGAGGAGGTGAGGTGGAGGTGTGGTGGTGATGGTGGTGAGGGTGGTAGGTGAGGTGAGGGAGGTGGTGAGGAGTGAGGATGGAGGGTAAAGGTTGAGATGAGGAGGAGGGTTGTGATGGAGGGATGGAGGGTGGTGAGGGTGGTGAGGAGGTGGGGAGATGGTGGTGTGAGGAGGTGTGATGATGTGGTGAGGGATTTGTGTTGATGGTGATGTAATGGTGAGGTGGTGGTGGTGGGTGGGTGGTGTGGTGATGGGTGAGGTGGTGGTGTGGAGGGTGGTGGTGGTGAGGGAGGTGGTGAGGGTGGTGAGGGTAAGGGTGGTGAGGGTGGGAGGGTGATGTGGTGGTGAGGTGTGATGGTAGTGAGGGAGATGGTGAGGTGAGGAGGGTGGTGAGGTGAGGTGGTGAGGGGGGTGGGGAAGTGGTGGTGGTGGTGAGTGGTGGTGAGGGTGGTGAGGGTGAGGTTTGTGGGTGAGTGATTGGTGGTGGGAGGTGGTGGTGGTGGTGGAGGTGGTGGTGAAGGTGGTGAGGAAGTAGGGGAGTGGTGAGGAGTTGTGAGGAGGGAAGGGTGGTGTGGATGGTGTTGTGGGGAAGGGTGGTGGTGAGGGTGAGGGTGGTTGAGTGAGAGGTGAGGTGGTGGTGAGGGAGGTGGTGGAGGTGGTGAGGGAAGTGGTGAAGGTGGTGGTGAGGGAGGTGGTGAGGGAGGTGAGGTGAGGTTGGTGATGTGAAGGGTGATGGTGGTGATGGTGGTGAGGGTGGAGAGGGTGGTGAGGGTGGTGGAGGGTGGTGGTGTGAAGGTGGTGGTGAGAGTGGTGAGAGTGTGAGGGTGTGATGGTATTGGAAGTGAGGATGGTGAGGGAGGTGATGGTGGTGTGAGGGTGGGAGGGGGGTGGTGGTGGTGGTGTGGTGAGGTGATGGTGAGGGTGGTGGTTTGTTTTGAGGGTGGTGAGGCTGATGGTGGTGAGGTGTGGTGGTGGAGGGTGGGTGAGGAGGTGGTGGTGAGGGTGTGAGGATGTGAGGGTGATGTTGTTTTGAGAGTGGTGAGGGTGGTGAGGGTGGTGAGGGTGTGATGTGGTGTGGAATGGTGGTGGTGGTGATGTGAGTGGTGGGTGTGGTGTGAAGTTGTGGTGAGGATGGTGAGGACGTTAGTGATGGTGATGATGATGTTGAACATTATTTCCATTATTACTGTTATCATTATTATTATTATCATTATCATTATGATGATATGATGATGATTATTGTTGTCATTATCATTGCCATTATTATCATTGTTATCATTTTTATTATTATCACTTTCATCATTATTACCATTAGCATTATTATCATAATCATTATAATCATTATCATTATGATCACCATCATCATCACTGTCATCAATACCTCCCTCGTTATTATTGTCATTATCATTATAATATTTATCATTATCCATATCGATCATTATTATTATTGTTATCATTATCATCATCGTGATCGTTATCGTTTTTATTAACATTATCATCATTATCTGTATCATTATTTTTATTGCTATTGTTATCATCATTAATATTATCATTATTATTATCATAACAATCTTTACCATTATTATTGCTGTTATCATTAACATTATTATTGTTGTTATTATGATAATCATTATTATCATCATTATTATTATTATTATTATCATTATTATTTTTATAATTCTTCTTCTTCTTCTTCTTATCATTATTATTATTATTATTGTTATTATCATTATTATCATCATCATTATTGTTATTATCATTATCATTATCATTATTATTATTATTATTATTATTATTATTATTATTATTATTATTATTATTATTATTATTATTTTATTATTATTATCATTATTAATATTATCATTATCATTATCATTATCATCATCATTACTGTTGTTACTATAATTATTATAAACCCTTTCTGTTTTTATTATTATCATTACCATTATTATTGCTATTAGTATTATAGCTATTATTTTTTATCATTATTATCATTATCAATTTATAAATATTGCTATTATTATCATCATCATCATCATCATTAGTATCATGATTATGAAACTATCATCAGTATCATTACTAATGATACTATCATTATCATTATCAGTATCATCTTCCTCATTAGAATTGTCATCATGAAATCATTATCATTATCATTTCCAATATCATTATCGCTATCGCATCATCATCATTATTTTTATCCTTATCATCATTATTATTATAATCAATATTGTTATCATCACAATCATTATTGCCGTCATTATTATCATCATTATCATTGTCCTTCCTATAATGATGTTTGTTATTATTATTATCATTATTAGTAATAGTAATGTAATTATTTTTATTATAGTAGTAATAATGATGATGATGATAATGGTAATAAAACAATAATGATGATAACAATAATGATATTGATAGTAGTAATATCAATAATGATAATAACCATTATCATTATCAGGATCATAATTGTGATAATTGTTATTATAAATAATATCACTGTCATTATCATCATTGTTATTATTATTGTTATCAGTTTTATCATTTTCATTACTATCATTATCATTACTACTACTTTCACTATTTATCATTATTATCATTACTATCATCATTATTATGATTATCATTACTATCATAATTTTTATTATTATCAATATCATTATTATCATCATTATTATCAATATTGTTAATATCATTATTATCATCATTTTATCATCATTATTACATCAATCATTTTTGTCATTATTATTTTTATTATTATTATCATCATCATTATCATTGATATTATCATGACCATCATTATCATTGTTATTATCATGACCATCATTATCATTATTATTATGATTATCATTACTATTATCATCATTATCATATTATTATCATTATGAGTAGTAGGTAATCAATTTTTGTTATCATTATCATCAAAGTTATTCGCAATGTTAATATTAATGTTAATGTTTTATTATCATTACTGTGATTGTCTGTATCATTATTCTTATCATTCTGATTATTGCTAGTATCATTGTTATTCTAATCATCATTATTATTCTTGTTTTTGTTATTAGGTTTATCATCATCATTATTCTTATTACTATTGTTATCATTGATATTATGATTATTATTATTATACTGTTATTATCATAATTAATATCATAATTAGTGTTATCATTAACATGATTATCATAATTAGTGTTATTAACATGATTATCATAATTGTTAATCATCATCATCATTATCATCATCATAGTATATTCATTATTATTGTTATTGTTACTTTGCTTATGCATTTGTTGTTTGGTTATCATGATTATTACTATTATTATTAATATTACTATTATTCTTATTTCTGTATTTATTATCATCTTTATCACTATTGTTACTGTTGGCATCATTAGTAATGTTATTGCTATCATTATTGTTATCATCACCATTATCCTTTTTATAATTTTTATTATCATAAAATTGTTTTCATCATTATTATCATTATGATTATCATCATTCTCATTTTTATTACTACTAATATTATCATTTTCATTCGTATCATCATCATTATTGTTATTATTATCTGAATTATCATAATCATTACTATCATAACCATCATTATCATCATTATAAAAAAAAAAATGCAGTAGTAGCAGTAGTAGTATGTTATGTTATCACTATCATTATAAAAAAGAAAAAAAAAAGAAAAAAAAATCAATTTGTACTTTGTTCACTGTCGTATAATCTTTTCATATTTGTTCACATTTATGTTAGTTCTTTTGATCGATCATTTGAAAAATTAGCTTTTTTGTGTATTTCAGACGTCGGTTAAAAACATTTTTTTTTAACATTTATTTTGATATTTTCTGATTTTTTTTTTTTTTGGTAACTATGGCTTTATGGAATTGATATATTTTTTTCTTTGTAGAAGATGGGGAATAAGAATGATAAAAGGGAAGAAAAAGAAATAAGAAAAGGAACACGACGAAACAGAATAAAGATGAATGAATACAAATTAACAATAGTATAAGAGACAGAAAGAGACAGAAAAGGACACAGAGGCAGGCGGGGAATAGTAAAGAAAGGAATAAAAGAAAACAAGAAGGAAGGAAAAAGAACAAACAAATAAACAAAGAAGGAAAGAACGCCCCGAAACAGAATAAAAAGAGAATAAAAAAAAGGAGAAAGACGAAGAGAAGGAAAAAAAACAAGAGGAAGAAGGAAAGTTTAAATGGAAAAAGATAAATAAATCTAAAAAAGGCAAAAAAAAACAAAAAACAAACAAACCAGGACAATAAATAAATAAATAAATAAATAAAGAAAGAAAGGGAAGACAGAAAAAAAGTTAAGGAAAAAATTTCTACAACAAATGAAAATACGTAATTCAATTAGTGCGAACACTCACCTACGTGAGGTTATGTTAATTGGATATAATTCCCCTTAAAAAGGATAATAAAAAACTAAGAAAAAAAAAGGCATAAGGGTGCAATTGGTTGAACTTGTGGAGTAACATTGACATGACCCTCCTGTTCTGTACTCTAAGAACGTGTGCAGGAAATTTAAAACGTTCTTAAATACTAGTTTGTGCCAAGTCCTCTTTATCTATTCTTCTGGTGTCTTGTAACNTATATATATATATATATATATATACATATATATACACACTCACACATAAAAGGTATACAGCAAAATAAATATGTTAATTATTCATATTATTTACATATTACATTTTTCATATGACATTCCACATATCTTTAGGCTAATAAAAACCAAACACCTGTTTAATCACATCCTTTATTTAGATAATCAATAAGATACGCTTTATAGAATAGTAAGTACTCAAAAGTAAGTACAAATATAACACTTAGAAAATCAATATAATTTAAACATATACTCGAAGATATTTCAGGTGTCTTTCTTTTGGTTCCTGTGTAGCACTATGAACCAAATGTGAAAGAGGTTCCTGAAGATTTGACAACAATTAGAATGAATTACCTTTTATTGGATGTATTGAATACTTGTAAAACAAATACTGTAATATCAATATCATATGATACATATTTATTACAGACATGGACAATGCAACAACTGACGATTTAAAATAGAAATCTGCATATAAAAAAGAACATTCTCTGAGACATTAATTATTCAAAATACAATAACTGGCTTTGTTCCATGCAAAGATACAAGAGTTCAAAAATCTAGATTTTCTTGCTTATAAGAATCATACACAAAATTACTCTGATAAAAATTGCGTTCTCTCTAATACAACAAGACTCCTTTCTTCCATCTACTCAACTACTCTATTAAACATTCACGGTTTGACTCGTAATCTTTCTTTTTTTGCATTTTCTATTTCAATTTCAATCTCGACTTGGCATTCTATAATATATAAGTCAAAAACACAAAAAAACAGTTTCACCAAAAAGAAGTCTGGAATTACTGACAAAGGAGGAAAAGAAAAAGAAAATAAACAGCACACTTTTGTACCCACAACATAAAAAAGAGACAAAAATAGAAAAAGAGTAGAGATAAAATCCTTACAAAATATGGCTATACTACTAGCACTCTTGAATCCTTTAAATGCTACTAGGTATGAATTTCCTCCAATGTCTGTGTGCAGATGGCAAGCCAGAGCTCTGGTAAGCAAGAGAGAAGTCTAGCCATCAACCAACCCCACAAGTATCTTCTTGTAGTCTCCGCCAACGTCGTCCTAGAACAGATTGCACTGCATTAGAATCACGGGTCTTACAGGGAAGGCAAAAGCAGTTGAGTGGGGGAGAAAGAACTTAGCCTTCAACAAGCGCAAGGAGTACTCTCTTGTAGTCGCCAGAGGTGTCGTCCTGTAAAGATTGAGAGATGATTGCAGGAAATTAATAGGCATGCAAAATTCCCTAAAAGCTATATCCCATATGTCCATTACTGTACTTCACAAAGAATTAGAAATTCACTACCTAAAGCAAGACCTAGAAATACACTAACAGAGAGGGAGAGGGAGAGAGCGAGAAACAGAGAGGGGGACCAAGAAAGGAGGAGGAGGAGGAGGAAGGAAAGAGAGAGAGAAAGAGAGAGAGAGAGAGAGAAAGAGAGAGAGAGAGAAAGAGAGAGAGAGAGAAAGAGAGAGAGAAAGAGAGAAAGAGAGAGAGAGAGAGAGAAAGAGAGAGAGAGAGAGAGAAAGAGAGAGAGAGA